CAAGTTCTGGAGCTGCTCCGTGTAGGTTCAATGTTTCTGATGTGGTTTGTATTGCAGAATCCCAGAAGAGTTTTAAAGGAGTTAACATTCTGAAACTGTCAGGTACTCAATTTAAACCACTTCCTCTCACAAATGACAGTGAAACTATTGGTTCTGAAATATGTGATATGATTATTCCTGAAACCGACACAGACTGTGATGGACAAGTTAAAGCTGCTTCAATTAGTTATGCATCTAGGTTGGATGATTTGCAAATTAGAATGAGAAATGATGGTTTTGCCTCAAGCCAATACCATGATCTTGCTGCATTTGCCAACCCAAAGCAACTTGATTTAAGTGAAGTTGAAGACTACAATACAAATGAAACTTGTAGTCTTGCATTAGAGAACAAAGTGCTAGGCAGATCATTAGAGGAGAATCTTAAGTCACTTTATTCTGCAAAAAAATTGGAGGGATCTATCTCTACTGACGACCAAGAGAAATTCAAGTCCACAAAGGAAATACCAGTACTGGAGGAATGCCATGTTCTGACTGACAAGGGGAAACCATGTACAAATTTATCTGAAGCCTGTGTGGAATTGCCATATGGAGTAAGCAGAAATTTGGAATCAAATGTTGTGTCATCCGTAGAAGAGATGTCTGAGGACCTCAGACATGTAATTGCCTTGTCAGGACAAGAAAACAACAAAATCTCCGAGCCAAATTTGTTTAAGGTACACTCAAGTCAGTTGGAAGTTACCTGTAAAAATTCACCTGAAAACCCTCTGAAGGAAGCACTGAACTCTGATGCATGTGCTGATAAAGAGAGAAAATTTTCCTTCTACGAAAACTTTGATGTGGCAAAACCTACACACTCTGTTCCAGAAACAAGTAACCGAGGCAATATTGCCTGTAGTGGTTGCAAAATGTCACCAGGAACTCACTTTGCCATGGTTGGACCTGTACACTTTGAGAACTTGACTGTTACTTTAGAAGACCATATAAGTAAGCATCCTTCTAATGCTTCAATTGAAGTTATGGAGGATGATTCTGTGTGGCAGAAAATGGATTCAGATCTTTCTCAAGGTCAACTTGGAAACTCCCACTTCACAGGGAGGTGTATTACTGATAATAGGAATTCAATTTTTTCTAAATCAACTAACAAACATAATGCAAAAAATTCCATCCAGCCGTTAACTGTTTCTAGTTCCTATATGCATGGTTCATGGCCTCAGAATAAACGGAGGAAGTTAGATAGTCAAAAAAGTATTATGCTCTCTACTTCACCAGCCTTCAGGGTATCTCAGTATATCCCATGCAATTATATATATAAAATTCTGAACATTCTAGATGTCTGTTTAAGTCCTGATCCAAATCTCGGACTTCTATGTTTTTCAGGATGATGTTATAGAAACAAATGCTGGTGAGAACCTAGTTAGAGACATCAGTCAGCATGGAGGACAACACATGGTAGAACAATCTGTTTCTTCACCCAAGCTACAACTAGAAGAGGTATGTGTTTTAATGTTGTAAGTTCAAAATGGTTTTGGTTGAATTCATGCAAGGACCGGCTTTGGAGAAACCATATTGAATCAAAGGTTTCTTTGGCATGTTTGAGTCGTCATCTAGATGTCCGAGCAAAACAATACTCATCTGGATGTCATGAAGAGTGCCAGTTAATGTAAATCTGTTAAGATCTCACTATATGGAAAATGTGGCTAAAATGGTGAATGTCCTTCCAGCCATTAGTGTCACATATGGTCATGGATAAAATATTGGACAAATCAGATGATATCAGATCTCTTTTGGTATTTGTCATTCATGTATCAACAAAACTTGAAAAATACTGACATAAACCATCTACTTTCACAAAACATTCAATATTCACTATTTACCATATCCATACTTAATTTATGAGGCATCAAATTATACTTGTGCAATCAGGTTTTGTTCCCTGAAGTGGATTAGATTCTCACTGGAGTGGTGATTGATAATCTAATGATTGATTTTTTCTTTTCCTCTTATGTTGGTGCATTTTTCTTTGATTTTAATGGGGAAGGGGGGTGTGGCAATATGAGTTGGGTTGCTGGCAACCATAGAAATATCTTTAGTTCATTACTGAAACTTCAGAAGGGATTTGACCCTAGCAATAGTAGACTCTTAAAACGATAGAAAAAAAAAGTCTGGCTCTGTGACTAACGGATTATAGGATTATGTTCAGGTTCTTAATTTGCATCCTTGATCGAAGCATATTATTTTATAATAGAGAACCGACTTTCTTCGTAATAAATTTTCAGTGTAGTTTATGAGATCTTTAATGCTCAATCTTCATGACTGACCATTGCTTGATGTTTTAATTGGTCTATCTTGGAGCATACCTTTGCACATGTAATTTGTTATAGAAAGAGGAACTGTCAACTGCCTTCTCTTTTTCAGAAAAATAAGGAATAGTTAACTAAGATGTAAACTTTCCTAGTTGCCTAGGAGTTTTTCTTTGGTTACTGGACAATAATTGCTAGAGTTCTTGCCACTATTTCATTGATTTTAGGTTGCCTTGTTAATGTACTATAGTTACTTATGTTTGTTTGGTTGACAGCGTGAAGTTAGCTTAAAAGAGAAGGAAAGAAAGGCAGCTACTCCTGCTTTAGTACAGGAAGAATTAGGAGCGCTGTCAGTCTCAAGTCTGACCAAGCATAGCTCTCGAAATTCCCAGAATATTTTGTTAGAAGAAACAGAAGAAGCAGATCCTACCAAATTTATCTTAGATGACAAGCAGGTCAGTATAGAAGGGAAGCAAGTTATTTTGCATCATGAAGATCAACCGAAAAATACAGAACACTTGACCTCCACCGAAGCAACCACAATGACAAATATTATTCATCCTGGAGAGAATAGAAAAGCTTTGTATCATTCAGGTGATTCTCTCAGTAGCCAATCCATGGCCTGGATTGGTTTGGATCAATCTCTGCCTATGTTTGAGGGGTTCATTATGGAAACAGATAAAGAACAACCATGCATTGCCAGAGAGGAAGTTAGTATTGACAACTTAGCCCTTCCAAAGACCACAATCGAACGTGCAAGCATGCTGGAGCAGATGTGCAGATCTGCTTGCATCTGTACTCCATTATCCGATCTTGCTACTACTTCCACACTTCATAAAAGACCAAACTTGCATCATTCTGTTCCAAATGGGCTTCTAGAGTGCACAGACCTGAGGAGCAGTCTACTCATTGATGATACTGGTACTCAACTTGAGGGCAGTTCTGGTTCCCTTA